GTATGTATGAGAAGGCATCTCTCTCTCTCCTTGTTATTGGCTCTATCTTTTCGGAAGGGAAATTAATAGGATTCCATGATACAAACCAAGTGAATCCCTCATCAGCGCCCGAGTTCATCAACATTTCTTCTTTTCTGCGTTCGGTCCATTACTCCCAACTACTGAGACGATGAAAATATGGTGGCTTGTACATCGGCACTTTCGCGGGTTTATACCACGACTTTTTTCCTTCACGGTCGATAATTGCTGATTAGTTATTTAACATCGACATTACGGGGTCTCCTCGTCAGGTTAGGTCACTCTAGATCAGCACATCAATGATTTGCTCCTGGTAAGCTTAGCTTATGGCTTAGCAATACTCCGCGGTTTTACACCCTTCGTAACACAGAGAATACAGTTTGGAAGCGGATGAATTTATCAGCGAGTAAATACGACAGCACAGTAGAGAATGCGGAATAGAGAGCGGAGTCTCGTGCGGACCTCTTCCCTTATTACTATTATTACCCGAGGCCTTGTGGTATCAGCTAGCTGATGTCGCGTCCTCGGTCGACCGTCCCGTCGTCCACCGCCGCTCGAATACCGTCCTCGCCCTCCATCCTGTAATCAGCTTGAATCATCGGAGTAGTTCTCGGCCTACAGTAAGAAATCTATCTAATGATTGTATGACTGAGCCCGACTCTTACAGCTTAAGCCTGAACTTAGGCATAAGTTAGTGCGTAGTTATAAGCGTAAGCTTAAATCTGAGCCTAAGCTTATTCTTAGAGATCACAGCTGATCGCACAGCTCTGGTGATCTGACCTAGGGGGTAAGAACTGAACGTCTCCCCTCTTTCCTACAAGTCGGAGCATTATTCGAGTCGTCCCGCATTCAAATGCGATTCTGAGTGGCTGTAGAATGCGTGGCACATATCAAAAAGCCATCAACGCCAAAGCTTTTTCTCCCTTCGATGACCGAAGCCAACACAAAATAATCCGACGATCGTCGTGCTGCGCTTCTGAAATCCAAACCCGCTTATATAAACTGGACTCCATACTTTCTTGGTGCACTGCCAATAGCGCAGGCTTACTGTTGGAACGAAGAGAAGTGTTGAAAAGGACAAAAGGAAAAAAAACGCCACGAAAAATTGTCGCACATCAGTATTGTAACTTTTTGGTGTGTCACCAAGATAAATAATGAACGCTACGCAACGTCCGAAACCGAAGTTATCGTGGGTGTAATCTCAAGGTAAAGTACCCTAGTAACCCTTATCACTATCTTTTTTCCCATCTGCTACGAAATATTATGCCAGCAGGCATCAATTAACCTCCCCTTCAAAAAGCGAGAAAGTGTCGGGTGCAGACCAAACACCACAACTGACGACGGCCTCCAAGTAAATCTGGTTAAAGTTCATAGTGATAGCTGATTTCTGGTAAATGATAGTTGTAATTAGTGACAATCGATAGAATACAACTGCAACAGGCTAATCATTTCATTGGCAGAAAACATTAACATTTTGTGAAGGCCGTCGTCACTTGTGGTGCATGGTCTGCACCCGACACTTTTTGAAGGGGAGGGTACATACCAGGACTTTTTTCCTTCACGGTCGATAATTACTGATTAGTTATTTAACATCGACGTTGCGGGGTCTCAATTTAGATCAAATCCCGTGATAAAGCAAGAGATTCACTACTCACCGCACTAGCACTGACAAAGGCAAAGCCCTTCTGAAGAGCCCCGATTCTGTTGGACCATACACTCACTGAAAGATGTTTCTTCCCTTGTTTTGGTCTGCATAGTAGTACTAAGTCTGCTGACTGCTAGTTGAATGCTGGAGGCGTTGATGAAACCAATTAGAAATTCGCCTTGGCTTCTCGCGATCATTTCTTTCGTCTGTGGGCAGTCGACTGGCCACTGGCCTTTTCCGGTTGAATTCGTTGGATTCCAGCTTTTGGCATTTGCCGTTCTTGTCGTTTTATTTCTTAGTGAAAGCAGTGCTCCACTATGAGGCCGAGGGAGTAGAAATGCTCATGGTGTCACATGAACAATTGATTGGGAAGGAATTTTTCGTCCCCGCTGCTTTGTCGTAAATTCTGCAATGTGTAATAGGTGGCAAACAAAAATGGTTTTGCTGATCCTTAATTTTTTGTTCTTTGTTCTTCTATTCTATTCTTTCTTTATTTCTTTGGCCTGCCATCTGCGCTGTTCCCCCTTGTCTGGGAATCTATCCATATATTGCCAGATTTTGTATCCCATTTGAGTGAACCACTGGATGGAAACCGTCCTAACAGTAGCTGTCAAGATTGTTCGCTATAACGGTTTTCTATGGAGAACTTTTTGTCGTTCGAAAAAAAAACTTGAAAACTACATGAGGATTTTTTCTCATATATCTTGAATCTTCAGAAATCGAAGATTCGACGTAATAACTTCGTATAGCATACATTATACGAAGTATTTTCAAAGCGTGAGGAGCTAATGCGAGGAAAATGCTTTTTGAGAGCGCTTTTTGGTACTGTTGCTGCAAATATCCGTGTTCATTGTCACAGAAGCGACCTAAAGCTTTGCAGCTTTACCTGCAGCGTGAGTTTTGTGTTAAGTTCTTTTTGATCAAATATACCGTACATATTTGACCAAGTTATTATTGGCAAACCGTGTGGAAGGGCTTGATGTCTTTTGTTTTGCTTGTGTGTTACGAAGTATTATTAGGTACCGGATATCTTAGTGTCGCTTTTCTGAGTTCAGGAAGTTTTGGGGCCGATTACTATGGAAAATCAATATCCCAGAAGGCAGTTTTTGCTCATTAATATTGCGAAATATGTTGCTTACCGTCTTCTATTGTTGGTTCACAATTTAACTTTCCCCCAATTTTTATACTTTCTTCTGAAAATTCCTGGGTCCAGTGTGCAAATTCGCATGTGTGTACCAAATGCATCAAAATTCTTGCTGAGAGCTGTAACCTCCGCCCACCAAACCAGCATTGCATTTGATGGAGGGAATACTACCATTTAAAATGCTCATCGGTTTTTCACAGTTTTCTTAAAAGACAGTAAAGTCTTTGAAGGGATGCCCGCAACCGTCGCCAAAAAGGTGGTCCTAGCTAAATCAGTCAAAACGGGGCTGCACCAGTCTTGTGCTGGAATGGTAGGACACCCTAGCAGTTACTGATCGATGGTGCACAGACGCTCTAACGAAGTTGATTGACCAAGAAATTCTAATAAATGTGCTCATCTGCTACTCACGTGTGCTCAAAAAGGGTGCGTTTTTGACCCATGTGGCAAAAAAGACTCCGGGAAAAATTGTCCAGTTGAGCTGGTAAGTAATAAATTTTCCACCAAACAGTGCAGACCCTACTCTAACTAAATGTACATATTTTGTCCAGGCCCAACTGTTTAGCAAGGTAGAGGGATGATTTGTCAGATGATGTCAAATTCGACCTACCTCTCTTTTTCGTCTCAAAAAATTCCTAACTTTAATCGTACGAGGTTTTCACTCATACTGGTAAATGGGAAAGGGCTAATGAGTCATTCGATGGATATGCCGTTTCACTCACTGGATTTTGAATTAAAATATTGGTGGTCCGAAACTCGCGGTGAAAAAACGACACTAAGATATCCGGTACCTAATATAACGGAATCAACAATACTACAAATGTGGGAAAGGAGAATAGTCTCGGTCACGGAAGCAACTGTAATTTCATTGTAATGTCCGATGAGCGCTATACGAACTTTTTAAACTAAATTGTGCTTACAAGGAAGGTCTTTCAGGACATGGAGCGCTTTTTCGAAATGGTTTTCTGCATGTTGTAGGGGCTCATGCGAGGAACACAGAACCATGATCCATTTTTCCTGAACGCCTCCAGGAATGTCAAAACAGTGGTGAAGAAATGGTCCAGAGTTCGATCCGGTGATGACTAATTTTTGCAATATAGTTTGGCGCCTTCAGATTGCCGCCAAATGGCCATCGTCGAGCATCATGTCAACGTCGTGTTTTGCGGAAATTTGGAGGCGCCAACATAAATTGCAAAAATCTGTTCATCACGGTGGACCAAACTTTGGACCATTTCTTTCCCGCTGTTTTGAAATTCCTGGGGGGCGGGGTGGGGACATCGTTAGACTGGATCGTGGTTTCTGTTGTTCCTACTGAGCCTCTAAAATTCAGGAAACGATTTTTACAAAGAACGCTCGTGTCCTAAAAGACCTCCATCTTGTCCTTGTCTTGGTCCCTCCCCAGCAACATTTCTTACTGGGTTGTGTATTAATCGGTTGAAAGAAAAGAAATACTGCCTTTGAAAGTTCAGTGTGTGATACTCGTGACAAGGTATTCGACCTTAGATGAAATATTGAAGAAAAAAGCATTGCCCCGTCGATCAACCCTTTCTTGTAAGGCACGATTAGCTTACTTAGATTCGTGTATAAATTTGAGTGCGATTTGACCTGCACAATGAAATTATGGGAAGGGGGAGGGGGTGGGGGAGCGGCTGATGTACAGTCAGCGTCTTTATCTTTCCATGCAAGTCTGATACCAATTAAATAGCCCCTAAGGGTTGGAAGGTTTTGTGAGCTTGGACTGCGAACGATCCAGGACACATTCGCCCAAATTGTCCACCTTTGCATAGAAGTGCCACTGCGACCCTTATTTTTAGCAGAAAGCGATTAAGGCTGGACTTCGGTGGAACGGATAAACGCTAGTAGCTGCTTGCCTCTGTCCTTCAGTTTCAATGATGATAAATCAAAATCATGGTGAATGAGTCAAACATGAACTTTACTCAATGGGAGAGATGTCATCTGCTTTGCCTTCCTGAGAAGTGATTATCGAAACCTCAAGGTTAGCACTGTCTCGCATAGGGCCGCCACTTTCTGGGTAACCTCAGAAGGACATCTCTCAGTATTCAGTGCTCGTCTTATATGTAGGCAACACTCTGGTTCGTCGCACAACTGGAGAGGCCCATTCTGATTCGAGACAATGCTTCTTGTTGTTCTTCACGATGTCGGTACGGAGTAACCGGCACTAAAAAAACTATCTTAATGGTCGTACTTGCTCTGTCCGAGCAAGCGCAGGGCACTATGGCGCTGGGCTACCAGCCAAATAAAGTAGGGTAAGAAATCGGAGACTGAGGTGTTTTTGATAAATAGCTCTTGCTTTGTAATATGCTGTTATATTGCATATTCGTTTTGAGCATAGGAAAGAAATCCCACCGAAGCGTGTCCTCGAATGTACCATTTTCGTTGTGTGCGCTTATTAGGTTTTACCATCAAAAATCAGTACTGATTGTTCTTAGCGATCACATGACCTCGTTATGGTGACTCCACTTTGTCATCGTTATTTACCAGGAACGAGTGCAGGACAAGGGCTCACGTCCTAGACGCCAACCCCGACAGCAGCCCGACTTTGAATCGCCGGCGTCATCGGCGCCTGATATATCCGCTTCACTGGTTGGCGTATTGTCTTCGAGGCTCTTATTTTTCTATCATTTCCCCTCGCATGATTGATGCCCTTATACGTGTGTATGTGTTTGGTGAGCTCTGGTGAAGTCCCTGGGCCTGCCTTGTCGACCGTTTGCCCCTCAGTTTCGCTTATTTCCAAGAATTGTCAGAAGACATTCACTTGGACAAGCCTAACTATAATCAAGTACTGCGTTCTATCTCATGTGCACTCGCACTTTTAATGCAGTAGGTTCTTATTCAGGATCATTACTTACAGAGAAATCTTCTGTGACTTCTAGTGTGTTGTTATTGCAGATGCTAGTGGAGGTCTTTGAATCATTTCCCCTAAAGGGATGGTGATCTGCACCCATTATTTTTTCGTTCATGTACGTTTGAACCCAAAAATGTGATTCCTTGGGGTACCATTCAGAAGGAGGGGAAGGCATGTAATGTGACAGTTCGTATCGCCTGAAGGGCGCAATGTGCCTCCGGGGTGGAGGCCAGTCTGTAGGGAAGCCGCTATGACTAAGTCTAGTGGAGAGGGGGAATACCGGAGAGGATGAGAATTGATCATCGTTGGATTCCCTCTTCTCTCCTGATGCTTATTCCTGGAACTAAGCATTTTCGTGAATCTGACGAAATGCTATGGGCTGCCCCATTTCCCCTTGCCCTCCGGAGCTACATTGCGTTTCCTTAAGTAATCCAATTCTTGCTGTACGAAGCTCATGGGTAGGTATGGCATTTTGATCACTCACTTGATGTCTCCATATGATAGATTATTAGTTCAGTTGCAATTACTTGTAAGTTTTTACCAACGCTTCAAAAGCATTTTTGGTGCAATTCTAGTCGGATGGGCACGTCGATTTTTTGCATACGGTAGGCGCGAAATGTACCCTCCCTTCAAAAAAAGCGAGAAAGTGTCGGGTGCAGACCATGCACCACAAGTGACGACGGCCTTCACAAAATGTTAATGTTTTCTGCCAATGAAATGATTAGCCTGTTGCAGTTGTATTCTATCGATTGTCACTAATTACAACTATCATTTACCAGAAATCAGCTATCACTATGAACAACTTCTAACCAGATTTACTTGGAGGCCGTCGTCAGTTGTGGTGTTTGGTCTGCACCCGACACTTTCTCGCTTTTTGAAGGGGAGGTTACATGAGGCTGATGTCCACTGATAGGACCCAACGAGACACTGTAGGAATCGATCATCACAACCTCTTTGCTGCTTTTTCTACCTTCGATGGTATTTCCTGCTCGATCGTTCCAATATGCACTAGCGATCGAACGAACAAAGCGCCGCGCCGCCGCGTGCCCTTCCCCCTCCAACTAAGTTAGTAGCAGATCCAGTTCCACGCACATTTTGCAACAACCGTATTCAAAAAAATTATTCCTCCATCCCAGCATTGCAGCCTTTTTTGTGTACCTTCTAGACTTCCTCTTATCTTCTTTTACCCAAGTTTTGGCTGACTTGAGAACTACTTTGGTTTTAGTCTTTCTTTTACGTGATTTATTATATTTTTCCTACTTTTCCCTTTCGTTGTTTCCGTTTTCGACATTCCATTGGAAACTACTCTGACCGATTTTTCTTGCGGTGAGGTTTCCTCTGTGCTCAAATACATTGCTGGTTTTCCGCTCAAAGCAACTCGAGGGTGAAGGCATTCCCATTTGGTACATGCAGCATTCTCTTGGACTCAATGAAGCGCTCAATGGTTCATGTCGTCAGTGCTTGTGGAAAAAACGGTGGAAAAAGGATCAACGAGCGAACACATTAATTATTCATTTGTCTTTTTCTGACAGGCATATCGATTCTGTCGTTTAAGATTGAGGACTCGCTCTAAGATCGCTCTTAGTGTTCTGAAATAACGACCTTCGCCCTGGGATTTGAAACCTACTTAGCGGCAAATTTCACACAGCGGTCACTCGCCAGTGAGGCTCGAGTATCATATGGAAAGAAGGGCGTGGGGTCAGTCCAGTGGGAGTTAGGACACGCCAAATCACAGGTCAGGAGGTTCCAAAGCTGGATGGCTTAGCGTTACCCTCGATCTTCTCGGTGTTGCAGTCAAATGGACACATTCCTGTGGTATGGGTTCACTGGTTGGAATACGCAATTTGGCGGTATCGCAAGATACTGATCACCCACTTTGTAAGACATGAATAGTGAAGGGGCAGGAATACGAATTTTCACAAGACTTTCTCAGTTTCTCCTCCCACACAGGGCTTGTCCTCGCACAACCTTAAAGCTTTTGGCCCATTATGTTAAAAAAAAGCATACTGACAGCGATTTTGAGTGCGCCAAACGCTTATATTGCTATAGCACCCGCAAATTTTATACCAGCCATAATAAATGAATAATTCGACTAACCCGTAGATGGAATGAGATCTAGCCCAAGTGATAGCAATTGTTTTTGGGATCCATAGTTAAAGGAATCTTCCACGGAAAGTCTTGTGTGTAGGATTAGTATTATCGAAACTAACGCTTATGTTCCGTTCTTTTTGCTATGCTCATGAGGCTAGGGGCCTAAGGTATCGTTTTTCTGTGGTAATGGAGGCGGAGCTTTTTCCGCGGAAGATTCCTTTAAATCTAAAGATTGGCGTATTTCGAGGTGATCGACCGAGGTTGAACCTTGGTCCCTACTGCCGATGAAAAATCAAAAACATCAATCAATGAAGCTTCCCCCACATCTAGGGGGTAATACAGGGGATCGTTCCCTGCTTCCTCAGACTTTGTTGAAAATTCCACCAATTTCCTAAGACAATGGTCGGTCGCATTCTTAACTTGTGGGCGGGGCCTCTGCAACCATCTCTGGGTTGGCAGCTTAGAGCAGGACCTTTGGCAGCACCAGTTGACAAAGCAAAGACTCTATTCTTCTCTGCCATACTGGTGCTTTTCCTAGGGTACTGCCTATTTTCCCTTACTTTATTCGCTCTTCTTTTTTCTTGCTTTCCTCTATTTCTTTTGTTGGCATTTCTTAAACTCTTGTATGACATCAGGTCCCGAATCTATGATATATTTTTAATGTCGAACATTCTCACTCCTCGTTCAATCATGCGAATTGTGCTCTTAGCCTTCGGTATGGGTGGAAATCCTCCCAGATTCCTTCTTGTGCCGTTATTGTCACGCCAACTCGCGTTATTTGTGAGAGTTTCCCGCATTACACTACCGCCCATGACAATTTCCCTCGTTCAGGATTTATGTCCCCGTACGGACGATGATCTACCACGATACCGGCGGTTGGCTAGCATTTATATTTACACTGATAGATGTGCATTCCGTAGCAGCAATTATCCTCTCCGGTGCGCCGAATTCGTACGCCAGGTGAGCGGAGGATTACTGTAGTTCAGGGTACAAGAAGAACAGAGCAAGCGAGAGGTAAGATAAGGGAAGAACAGAAGGCACACCATTTTCCAGGTATCCGAAGTGGGCTCATTCGTTCGAAAATTCACTTTCATTCGAATTCAAAACGAAACAATCCCATGGCCTTCTGCTCTACACCGATGACGGTGGTGTAAATGGCAATTTCTACTCGATCAGCATCTCCGACGGCAGAGTTCAACTTGACTTTCGGTGAGCCTTACTACTTGAATATTGTTACCATCCGCTTGTTCCGAAAAAGCGTAAACATTTCGAATTGATTAATAAACTCTACCCGAACTTTCTGCATCCGACACCTCAATTTTTTCACATGTTTCTCCTACACAAAACTCCCTTTGCTTCCCATCGAATTGTATGTAGTGAGTAATGGCTCCTCCTTTTCTTATTTCTTATGTTCATGTGCTCATTTCTGTTGCCGACTCGCAGTAATTTGCTGTTATCCCTACTGTCTTTCCTACACGCAGTTTGTCTTCTGCTTCTGATTCTCTTTTTACATTTTGTTTCATTGAACTCTCTCTCTCTCTCCCTCCCTCTCTCTCTCTCTCTCTCTCTTGGTCACAAAGTTACGCGTGAATGTTGTTACTGTAATCTGATTTTTCCCCCACAGTTAATACGTTATGACTTGTCAGTACATTAGCTACACATTCTACGAGGTGCTAACTTAGTTGGGGGGGGGCACGCGGCGGCGCGGCAGTCTGCTCACCTGGGCTCTCTCGAGCGAGACAGTGTAAACTCGAACATTCCAGCTTTTCACGCATGTCAAGTGACTGCCCCCACCCCCCACCCCCCTAGACTGGCTACACTCCCCCTGGCCCACGGATTTCCGAACATGCCAGGCGAGCAGACTGCCGCCGCCGCGTGCCCCCCCCAACTAAGTTAGCACCAAATTTCCAACGTAACTTCGGTAATCGGGATGAGCGTTTCGGGGGTAAAAAGAGGTGAAGAGGCAGATGACACAACGACGTTTCTAAAAAGCCCAAATTCATCTTGGATACCTTCATTTTCAAGGATTGGTCCCTTTATACCTTCGTTGAAAAGTTTGCGTTTTTAAGCGTCAATTTTTTCCTCCAAGATAGATCAGTTTCCGTCCGTTTTTCGCTTTTTCTCTTCTTTTTCTATCCTTTTCTTCTTCCTTTTTCTTTTTCTTTATCTCTTCTTCGTATGCTAAAAGAATTCACCACCACCGACCACTTGGCCGTCTTCATGATTTTTTCATATATAATGGGAAAACTTTTTTTCCACAGCCGTGAATGTGAAAGGACAGTACGCCCCCGGAAAGTTTCTGATTCGCAATCTGCCCTCTTCTTGAGCTGACAAACAGCTCTTTGTTCAGTTACGCTGAATATTCGTGTTGTATGTCCTCATGTTTCCCACTAGCATCTGGGAGTTGTGTATGGTGCATAGGAGATCCGTTCACGTGAGCACTTGCCCATTGGGAGCACACCATCATTGTATGTGTACATAATCAGTCAAAAAGAGAAAAGTGGCTGTCAGTTGAGGGAGACGAGAAGGGCGGTTAGGAAGCTGATAAGCTCCGAAGAAAAATTGCCCGCACAGAAGAAAGAGCTTGAAAAACCATGAAAGATTCAGTCGAAAAGGTTGCCATGGCACGTCAGTGAGGAAGCCTAACACCTATAAAAGAGCACATCTCAGCTATTGACGGCATTTCTGAAAGCGGTTGCTAGACAATGTAGGAATAATGGGATTTTGAGTTGCTATGCGGGCGGCTTCAAGTTTTGATGGGAGCAGGTAGAAGAAAATTGAGGGAACTGAAGAGGTTTCCAAATATTCGAAATTATTGCCTGTAGATTTGTGATATGATCAGCTTTGAAAACTCGTCAACTGACGAAAAATGAATTTGAGAAGCGTCAGAAAGTGAAGAAAGCTAGGGACGTGTTTGAGGCAAAAACAGTGTTGCTCTTCCTTTTTTTTCTCTCGAAAACAAAGCAGCTTCGTATGTCTAAGTTGATGGAAACGATTCGTCTGAAAGTCACAGAATCCAGCATTACGTTTCAGTATCTTTGAATTGGTCGAAGAAGTACAGAGGGGGGGGGTGGCAGAAAGCATTACTCTGTAGCTGCCGGCCTAGCGCATGTCACTCTGAAAAAGTCTTCGTCACAAAGGTGCCGCGCTACGATGAAAGTTAGACAGCGAGCAGCCCATCCCTTGGCATACCCCTGCCCCCATGGCAGAAGTCAGGCCCTTCTTCATTGCCCCCGCCGTCTCCAGAATATGACGTCATCTGCCATCACCGTCAAGGCCTACAGTAATAGCTGCGGCCTGAAGCTGCTACATAATTTCTTCAATGGATTAAGTGTTGAATTGTTTCTCAGAGACACTAGCCGTGATTAACAAGAATTCGCTTTTGACCACCTTTCAGGACGGTCGCAATATGTATGGTCCGAGGTGTCCCGTGACCAGGTTAAAAAGGATAAAGCATTTGCCGTTGATCAATCCCGTTTTGGGATGCGGCACGCATTCTACTTCCATTTGTACATTCGCAGTGGCATTTGAATGCGATGTGGCCTATACAATGACTTGCGGGGGCCAGCCGATGTTCAAGTCAGTGTTTTTATCCTCCCAGACAAGTCTGGTACCAATTAACCGACCCCGGAGGGATGGAAGGCTTGGTTGGCCCGGGCGACTCACGACCCAGGATTTGATCCCGGACCGCTCGCGTGAAGCGTGCCACTTGCCACTACACCACTTCCGCCACGGTGACCTGTTTTCTGTGGGAAAATCTTCTGATGTGTAGTGGGCTGCTATGAAGTTCTTTTTTGAGAGACTAGAATGTGCTGTACAATCCCAGTTGAGCTCATTTGGTTTGGATTTGGCAATGTTTAACTAATTCCGGTTCGAGCATGGAGGGGAGTAACTTT